TGTGGGAGGGCCCAGCCCACTGTGGGCGGTGCCACCCCTGGGCAGGTGGCCAAGGGAGTAAACCAGTAAGCAGCATTCCTTCATGGCCTGTGCTCCAGCTCCTGCCTCCAGGTTCCTGCCCTGAGTTCCTCCTACCTTGGGCTCCCTGATGAACTGTGACTCGGAGATGTAAGATAAACAAACCCTTTCCTCCCCAAGTTGGTAGTGGTCAGAGTGTTTTGTCACAGCAATGAAGAACAAACTAAAACAGAGAGAACTGACTCTACAAACTTGTCCTCTGATCGCCAAGCCCATGTACTGTGGCATGCATACCCACATGCACACATCATGTATAAATAATAATAATAATAATAATAATAATAATAATAATAGAAAAAAAGGAGGACTAGAGAAAGACTATTTGGTTAGGAGCACATACTGAGCTGCATTCCCAGAACTGTAATTCCAGTTCCAGGGGATCTGACACCTTCTTCAGGACCCTTTGCGTACCTACACTCATGTGCAAATACCTCCACACAGACACATATATACACATAATAAATATAATGAATCTTTAAAAATAGAAAACAACTGGGTCTGGAGAGATGGCTCAGCAGTTAAGAGCTCTGACTGCTCTTGCAGAGGACCTGGGTTCGATTCCCATCACCCACATGGCAGCTAACAACCATCCGTAATTCCAGTTCCAGGGGATCTGACACCTTCTTCTGATCTCCTCGGGCATTGCAAGACACAGGCACACTTATACCCATGTAGACAATACATTCATACACATAAAATAAAAACAATTTTTTTAAAAATAGCAAACAACAAAAGTAAGAGGAACTATGAGGAACAAACAGCAGTTTCAAAGTTCTGGAGGCTGGCAGAACAGTACCACTTCTGGGCAAGTGGTACTGGCAAGAAACCTCAGTGTGAAGACTCAAATGTGCAGGTTTATTTGGGACCCAATTTCTCCTTCATTTTAATCATCCATCTGCTATGATTGAACTTACAGAAAGTGTACAGAGAATGCAATGAGTTTGAGGCTGGCATCAACATGATGATTGGTCTATTTTTGAGACACACTCTTGTTATATACGCCAAGCTGGCCTGGAACTTACTATAGAACTCAGAATAGCCTTGAGCTTGAGATCCCCCCGTCTGAGCCTGCAGAGTGCTGGGTTACAGATGTATACCGCCACACCTTGGCCAAGACAATTATTTATTGTTAGTAGTTCTGGAAATTTGTCTACTATGAGACTTTTCCTGCTCTTCAAACTGGCATCCTTGTACACACCATGTTCTATGCTCCACAAAGTGTATTTTTCACAATTATCTAGATGTAAGAACTATCACATCTACCTTTAACAAAAGAGGAAACTGGATGTTGTGGAACACACCTGTAATGCCAGTACTTGGGCAGCAGAGGCAGAAGGGTCAGCTCATCTTCAGCTACACACAGAATTCAAAGCAGTTGGGGCTACATGAGACCCTGTCTCATAAGACTGAAAACAGAGGCTAGAGAGATGGCTCAGTGGTTAAGAGTAGAGTTCAGTTCCCAGAACAGATGTCAAGTGGCTCACAAATGCCTTCACTCCAACTCCAGGGAATCTGATGCCCTCTTCTGGCCTCTACCAGCACCAGCCCACTCGTGGTATACACACATACATACATAATTACATATATACATACATACTTATATATATAAAATGAAAGATAGTTTGTGTTTTTGTTTTGTTTTATTGTCTTTTTGAAGCAGGGTCTCCCTGTAGCCCCAGCTGTCCTGGAACTCACTAAGTAGACCAGGCTGGCCTTGAACTCACAGAGATCTGCCTGCCTCTGCCTTCCAAGTGCTGGGACTACATGCCTGCACCACCACGCCCAGCGAGTGATAATGTTTTTAAATAAAAACAAACGTGTGGTGGCACACGCCTTTAATCCCAGCACTCTTGAGGCAGAGGCTGGTGGAGCTCTGTGAGTTCAAGGCCAGTCTGGTCTACATAGTTCCAGATCAGCTGGGGCTACAGGGAGACCCTGTCTCAAAAAGACCAAAAAAAAAGGGCCAGTGAGATGGCTCAGTGGGGAAGGGTGATTACCAC